GATGTCAGAAACCAGGGGGAGATAAGTCAGAAGAACTTTTACTTTGTTATAGACTGTCTAGAAACTATAGATCGTTCCTTGACATTTATGACAATCTTTAGAATTTTGAACTAATCAGAAAAAATAATCTCTAATAATTTTTGATTGATCACTTTGATGTGTGATTCTAAAACGAGGGGAGATAAGTAAGCAAGGTAACCACGGATAATAATTTGTGAATCGGTTTGAGACGACCTACAAACTAGGTTGTGATGAATTAAGCGGTATATAAGAACCTCAAATTGTTTTTAGTAGTACATGTAGTAAAATGCAACTGAAAAAAATATTCACAAACCCTTAGGGCTGGTAGCCAGTCTATTGCAAACTGAAATAAAATATATTATGATAAGGACTACTTTTTTACAGTGAATACCCAGCACAGTGTATGTACACTAGCTGGTGTCTAATTTATTGTTTGTATGAAATAATTTTCAAAAATGTTCCTTCTTGCACTATAGTTTTGAAACTTAAGCATGAATTTCTATTTGTAATGGTTAGCTTTGCCAGTATACTGAATTCATTCCTCACAAACCTGGTAGTTCAAAAGGTAACATGAAACAAATATTTATTCACTTGGCCTTCATATGTTATGTACATGTATTTATGGCAAGATTATGTAATGTCGGGACAATCCGATGTACAAGGTCTGGGATTACTGTGACCAGATTGGTTTGCTTCTAATGATGTAATCTATGTTCAGATATTTATCGCCATCATATTTAGACTGTAGTTGTAATAGACCTATTCTCAATATTGACATTAAGCCCCTTTTGACAGTCATTGCTTGCCCCTGTTTGGAAGTCGGCTGGTTGATAAATATGGTATCCTTGCTGTTAAATAGTGAGCGAGGCGGATAGTGAACTTAGTAAACATTGTTCGATTGTTGATTTATTCGTGAATTCATTTAAGAGTAAAAGAGCTCCATTCGTGTAATTTATGTATATATACAACGTTAGCACTGTAGTGCTATTAAAAAATAACAAACCACTGACGAACATTAACACAGATCTATATCTAGAGCAGACAAACCCGTGTAGGTGAAGCAAACGTTCATGTTTTGTTTCTTTTTAGCAGATTTTAAAATGAATATTTAAACTGTGTTTGATTTTAGTCAGAAAGGCTATAACAGTCAATGAAATCCATGTTTGGTCTCATTCTAAAAGCAACACGACCCATTCATTATGCAACTGTTTTTCAAAACTAAATCAATAGTATAAATAAGCCTGATAAAGATTATTATGTTAACAACCATTAGACAACAGGTTTTAAAACCTCATTTTAAGCTCTCTGCAAGGTAAAAAGTATAAGATAAGTGATATAAGTATTTTTCATGTCCTAGCTTTGCTTAAGCTCCAAGTTATGCAATTTGTGTTGGCAAAATCATGTACTGTCTGAAAAACTGGGTATTTTGTCCTAAGTCGCATGGTATAACGGCGATGACATCATAAGTACATTTAACTGTTAGGTTTAAAGATTGCCTGTTGATTTAAAAGTCCAGTATCCAAAGTTTAGATAAAACTGTTTAGTGAAAGCCATAGGTGAACTTCTTAATGTAACAAATGGGTCAGTTTGTTTAAAAGTACTGCAAGTTCACCTAACATCTGATAAAAATGGGTGCCATTTCTTACATGTTTTGGTATTCAAATAGGTCAAGGTATTCTGCTCTGGATTAAACCAAATGAATAATGTAGACGCATGTACACCTGTGAAATTTATAGCAGTGGTGTCTTTACTAATATCACTTTAGTAACAGCTATGAACTGTACTGTTGCGAGGTTACAAAACTCTGATCAAACAAATCGCTAACCATGCACGTTTTAGATTGTACTGGATCTTTCCATTGCAGGGGAACTATTAAAACATTATTTTTTTCAGTTTTGGTTGCAATACACACGAAAAGTTCAAGTTGTTTTGACACTTTTTGACCTACTTCAGTGGGGAAACATACTGGCCATAAGTCAGTGGTTTTTCTCCGAGAACTCCAGCTTTCCTCCACCACCATTATTATAACCTGGCATGTCCTTAAATGACCATAGCCGTTAATAGAATGTAAAACACAAACAAACCAAACCAAAGAAAAGGTAACAAAACAATTTTGCAGCTCTGGTTGCAATACATATATAAAAAAAAGTTCAAGGTGATGTGACATGTTTGACCTACTAGCGTGGGGAAATGTTTCAAAACAATTTTTGCAGCTCTGATTCATATTAAAAAAAGTTCCAGGTATTGTGACGTGTTTGACCCTCTTATGTTTGGGAGACTTTTGTTCAAGACATGATGCTCCTGGCTGGGTTCTATGCACTGACATTTGAGCGTGGTGGTCCAATCAATATTTAAGATTGTATCATGTGATGTGCTAATGTTGTACATGCTGTGTAACTGGTATATGTACCAAGGTGTTTATCCACTCGAGATTCTGCTGCCGGCTGCAGTGTTATAACTGTCAGAGGTGATCAGCCTCGTCATGTCACGGTCTACAATAAAGCCACATATATTCACCAGTGCTTGTTCTATATAAATTATATATTCTTGGCCAAGAATTTAATGTTAACTTCAAAACCCCTCAATTGTTTTACACCTTGCCATGCTGTGGTGCAGGGGCATTGAGTGTTAACCTTGCAAACTATATCTGTCTGGCCAGTAAATGTTTTTGAATTTAGGTCGGTTAAGAATAAATTACTGCAACCAGCTATAGGGTCATGTATATTCTCATACTTATGTGCCTTGAATAATGCATGTTTCACAGCATATTTTTGACCTTCACCATTGAACTTGACTCCTTTTTGGACCGATTATAGCAGCTTTATAGTTACGGATCTTCATGCATAGGCTCCTTGATGCATACAGTATATTTTACAGAATGTTTATTACCTGTAAACTCAATCTCTTTGACCTTCAGATGAGTTTGTATTTCAGGGTTCCAAATAAAAGGTCACACCAAGGTCATTCATTTTCTTGCTTTATGAAGGTCAACCACAGGACCAAGGTGCATTGGTGTTTGTTTTCTCTGTAGGATATTAGTCCGCCTATCTGTCTCAGGGTTAGGAGTCCGCCTAACTGTCTATAGGCTAGTAGTCCGCCTAACTGTCTCAGGGTAAGGAGTATGCCTAACTGTCTATAGGCTAGTAGTCCGCCTAACTGTCTCAGGGTTAGGAGTCCGCCTTACTGTCTATAGGCTAGTAGTCCGCCTATATAGCTATCTGTCTGTAGGCTAGTATGCCTTTCTGTCTGTAGACACAACCTTGTTTGTAAATGTAGTCCCTGTTTCCATTCTTGTAACATTTTATTCAATTTCTTTGAAACGTCACTCCGTTGCGGTTTATCACATCAATTGTTTTTAGTACAAGTTGATCAAGGGTACATGGAAGGCACTCGTTCACATAGATGAGCGGGGGTAAATATATTAGCCGTCCGCTTACAGTTCTAGTTTATAGCATGGTTCGAGTAGGTTCAAAATGTTACATACACCAACGAACAGCTAGAGGTTTTGATTGTTAGCTGTAGCCACACTTGTTGATTTAACATCGCAGTCCTGCTATATTTAAGGAAAACTGTGTTTTCAAAGAATGTAATTGCTAACCCGCGAACGTGCCTGTGTAACTGCATCAGGAAACTGAGACGAGAGAAAGTCTTTGATGCAGGGAGGTGCGCTGAAGGTAGAAATTGAGCAGCAAGCATGCTCGCCCTGTACAATGACATCATGCTGATTATTTTACCCAAAGTGCCTTAAGTGTGTAACATGATGCTTTAACTGCTCCTGGCATGTATACGTAGCTCGTTACTGCTTTTCAACTTTAATTGAAGGTTTTTGTTTAGGTACATGGTGCAGTGATGATATCTATAGAGGTTGGTTTAGTACTGTAATGTACATGGTTACCCAGGGCAGTGATTAGTTATATAATACTTTAGTACAGATGTCGGAAGAACTCTCTGTCAAAGTGTATTTAGCATTGTACTCTTGATCCACACTACAGTACATTGTATGTAATCCAATTTATTTTATGCCTCTTGTTTTACCAAATTTCAGGATATTTTGCTCTGTAGAAAGAAAATGATGTCGAAATCAGGGAAATTGTCAGATTCTGGAAGTTTGTTTCGGCATGGCCTTGAGGGGTCTTGTTACAGCTGATTATAAATTTGAAAGATTCTGATGCAAAAACATCAATATATTGCCAGTAGTTTCGAATTTGAAGACATGCTTTTGAACGCTAGGGGAGATAGATATCGTAATAAAATGTGATTCTCTTGTTGAAGATTTAGGAGATACGGATAGTGGCTGAAAAATGTATTTCTCAAAAAATAATTATGTTCTGAAAATTTTGATAAGAAATAATAATAAATATGCATAATTAATTTCATGATACATTTACATATTGGAATCAGCTAATATAAGGTAATTGTAAAATAGACAGAGAAAAAAAGAGTAGTTTTGAAAAATAAAGATATTAAATAATGCTTTTAACTTTTGACAGTCGGAAAATACAAATGACTGATGCTAGAAAAGGAAGAGTATGTAACAAATCACAAGCATTCAACAGATGTCAGGGGACAGGATATTTTACTGTTGTCTACAAATGGATGAATATCACAAACATTTTACCGAAATTCTGGGGTCCGTTTATCATTTTTCTGGAGATGACTGTTGTTGATCAGTTGGACCGACAGTTCAGACAGGACCCATGTTAGCTATATGGTCATGTTAGGACCAGGTTGACCCTGTTTATGTTCTAGGGCTGTCAGACATAGAAATTAACGTGATAGAAAGCTGGTGTCTTAGGAAAAAGTGTTCTGGACAGGGTGAAGGTCGTACTGTTTACTACAGCTGTCTGCTGTATATATATGAACTCCTGTCAAGCAATTATATGGGGGGAAAGGTCGAAATAGTTGCTTAAGTTCCGTTTAATTGGTTTTGTCTAAAATAAATGTTGTGCTTAACTGATGAACTAATTCTGTCTTTTCAGATACTCCAAAATCCAACCGACCAGAAGCTAATGGGAAGAAAATCAATGAATATTTCAAGGTATTTAGTTGCCTGTTATTTGTCGGGGAGGTGTTGGATTCAGGCTGGTGAACTGTAATTGCCCTCTCTTACAGGGAAAAAGTCTGCTAGCATATTATGACCAGGATATTTCTTGTCCAGCGAAAAACAATTCTGAAAAAATATATTAAAAAAATATTTCAAAACGGTACCTATCAACTATTTTAGCGGATATATGTTATCATAGCAATGAATTCAAAAGCTTACAACCAGAAAAGGATTAACCCTGATAGGGCTGAGGGGCAGAGTCAGCTACAGTCACAGAAATCTTCTTAACACAGCTGCTGTGAAACCGTTGGATTTTCACCAACATTCTGTTCCTTATATGATGAAGATTAGAATTCGCAATTCAGAAGGAGTTGACCCCTTCTTGTAAAATCAAACTTTCAGGAAATCGGTCTTGAATGATTGGAATTAAAAAAAAAAAAAAGTCAGAATAAATACTCATGAAAGATTAAATTGATTTTACAAGGAGGCTGCAGGCAGGCCATAAGGATATGTTTAGTGCAAAGGTTTCAAGTGATGTATACTCTTTCATGTTCTTGGAGATATTGACCATCTCCAATCTTAACCCAGGATGATGAAAACTTAGGATGAAGATGTTTTGTCAGGCCCCTACTTTAAGAGAGACATTCTGTCACATGATATACTAAATATATTGAGTCATGTGACAGGTGTCTTGCTGACTTTAAGAATACAGCAAGAAGTTTCTTTTCAAATTAAAATCATCTTGAGTAGGCCATTTTAAACATGTTAACCTGGTAACTGTGTGCTGTAAATTGTCAGATTTACAGTATACCTGTCATGGATGTTTACAGCAGAACCAGTCACCTAGTCGTAGTGCCAACAGTCAGTCGGCCGGGACCAAGTCACCCTCACCCCAGGGGATGAGCTACAGCTACACTGCCCCCTCCCCTAGTAATCACAGCAATTCCGACAGTATTGGCTACCCTCCTGTACCTCTGTATCACTGTAACAAGACCATACAGGTAAGTCTGTACAGACTGTAAAGAGACCTACCTTATCACTATAACAAGACCATACAGGTAAGTCTGTACATCTGTAATGAGACCTACCTTATCACTATAACAAGCCCATACAGGTAAGTCTGTACATACGGTAACGAGACCTACCTTATCACTATAAGGTAGATCTCGTTACAGTTTGTACAGACTTACCTGTATGGTCTTGTTATATTGATAAGGTAGGGCTCTTTACAGTCTGTACAGACTTACCTGTATGGGCTTGTTATAGTGATAAGGTAGGTCTCGTTTCCGTATGTACAGACTAACCTGTATGGTCTTGTTATAGTGATAAGGTATAGGTAAGTATGTACATACTGTAACGAGACCTACCTTATCACTATAACAAGACCATACAAGTAAGTCTGTACAAACTGTAACGAGACCTACCTTATCACTATAACAAGACCATACAGGTATAGGTAAGTATGTACATACTGTAATGAGACCTACCTTATCACTATAACAAGACCATACAGGTTAGTCTGTACATACTGTAATGAGATCTACCTTATCACTATAACAAGACCATACAGGTAAGTCTGTACATACTGTAACGAGACCTACCTTATCACTATAACAAGACCATACAGGTAAGTCTGTACATCTGTAACGAGACCTACCTTATCACTATAACAAGACCATACAAGTAAGTCTGTACATCTATATCGAGACCTACCTTATCACTATAACAAGACCATACAGGTTAGTCTGTACACACTATAACGAGACCTACCTTATCACTATAACAAGACCATACAGGTAAGTACTTCGGTATATACTGTAACAAGACCAGATCTAGAGGGGCCTAGAAATATGTTGATTAAATGAAAGAGTAGGTAACGGAGAAAAGAAAAAATAAAGGTCCCAAGTGTTGTAATGGGAAAACAAGTCAATGTTGGTTTAATAGATGTTCAATAAGCAGGAAGTAGTCGATGCATTTGCCGTGAAAATATGGTGGGTATTGGTTAACAGGTGGAAATGAGAGGAGGGCTATTATATGGTTGCTAGGTAATGAGGGGTATTGTTAGGTTGCTAGGAGATATGGAACATGAACATGATCTTATCATCGATGTGTAATAACGTAAACAAGCAATCATTTATGACATATGCCAACATTTCTGCCTCTCATCCATTTCCTTAGGACATATGCCAACATTTTATGCATGTTTTATATGATTTATTTTGTTATTTTCATTCCTGCAAGTATTTCATAATATAACCAGTGATCTAATTATCGGACCATGTGCCATGGCAAAATCTTTTCAGAGAAGTCCAAAAAATTCCTACCTTTATAAAAAAAAATCAGGCAATTTTCCTCTCAAATTAATTATAAAGGGAAATATCAATATTAAAAACCTTAAATAAAACTTCTCCTTTGAAAATTTGGCGTTTTGTTTCCTGCAGAATTTACATATTTTATAACAAAAATCACAGAGGATAAATGGATTTTAGATGCTGTTGCTGTGCTAGTATTTTCCCCCAGGTCAAGGAAGGTGGCCATTTAAATTAAAAAATACACAGAAACCCCCTGCTTTTAGCTTTAAACCCATCACATACTGATGATGTTTATACCCTTTTTACCTTACAGACGGACTTGAACCTACAACAGATACTTGTCCTAGAAAACAAGTCTTCATCTCACATAGAACAGAAGGATAGCAAAATAGATGACCTACTACGGGTAACTATCACCTCTGAACCAAAGTGTTGTCCAAAAATATCCCAGTAACATGACAAACACTATATATAGACACTCAATTTAAAAAATATTTTTGAAAGAAAATTGGAATTTGTAAAGAAACAAAAAATTACTGAATGAAGGTCATGGTCTGTTGACCTTAGCATTGCTGGTTATTTTTGGAAAGTTTCGATGATTGGCTGAAATCAGAAAGATCTGAAGATTATCACCTGCAAAGTATGTATGCCTAGGGGAAAATCAAACTATTTTAGTCATTATTCGACATGTCTACAAAATTTTATCTTTAAAAGAAAAAGCTCCAACATAGTATGAACCTAGTAAGTTATTCCAAGGCAAGGAATAAAATATCCCATTGGGACCCTAATTACATGTCTAAAGCTCATAGTTCAAATTATTCTTAATAATTACTGTAAAATATATAAAAAAGAAGTACCAGTAGTAAGCTGTTTGTACCATAATATTTCTGTTGATTTTTTGTCAGCTTTGTTAACATTTCGAGTGAGCTTATATCATCATGGAATGTGCCCATACAGACAGCCTTCCTTGCCATTTGTATTCCTCTTTATTTACCCTTGCATATTCTTTATAATGTAAGCTTAGCTTTGGAAATGGCATGCTTAGATACATATACTGCCTCCAAAGCATTCTCATACCACCACCAAACTATCATTGTACTTTCTCCGTCCGTACTATCCTCATACCACCACCAAACTATCATTGTCCTTTCTCCGTCCGTACCAGCCTCATACCACCACCAAACTATCATTGTCCTTTCTCCGTCCGTACCATCCTCATACCACCACCAAACTATCATTGTACTTTCTCCGTCCGTACCATTCTCATAACACCACCAAACTATCATTGTACTTTCTCTGTCCGTACCATCCTCACACCACCACCAAACTATCATTGTACTTTCTCCGTCCGTACCATTCTCATACCACCACCAAACTATCTAAGTACTTTCTCTGTCTGTACCATTCTCATACCACCACCAAACTATCATTGTACTTTCTTCGTCCGTACCATTCTCATACCACCACCAAACTATTATTGTACTTTTTCCGTCCGTACCATCCTCATAACACCACCAAACTATCATTTTACTTTCTCCGTCCGTACCATTCTCATACCACCACCAAACTATCAAAGTACTTCCTCCGTCCGTACCATCCTCATACCACCACCAAACTATCATTGTCCTTTCCCCGTCCGTACCATTCTCATACCACCACCAAACTATTATTTTACTTTCTCCGTCCGTACCATCCTCATACCACCACAAAACTATCATTGTACTTTCTCCGTCCGTACCATTCTCATACCACCACCAAACTATCAAAGTACTTTCTCCGTCCGTACCATCCTCATACCACCACCAAACTATTATTGTACTTTCTTCGTCCGTACCATCCTCATACCACCACCAAACTATCATTGTACTTTCTCCGTCCGTACCATCCTCATAACACCACCAAACTATCATTGTACTTTCTCCGTCCGTACCATCCTCATACCACCACCAAACTATCATCATTCACAGGACACACTTGAACCATCGCATATTATATGTGCACCATCAAAGATTATACATGCAGCATCACAAATCATTCTCGCACCATCCCAGATCGTTCTGATACACACACCATCACAGATCGTTCTGATATGCACACCATCCCAGATAGTTCTTATACACACACCATCACAGATAGTTCTTATACACACACCATCACAGATCGTTCTTATACATACACCATCACAGACAGTTCTTATACACACACCATCACACATCGTTCTTATACACACACCATCACAGATAGTTCTTATACACACACCATCACGCATCGTTCTTATACACACACAATCACAGATCGTTCTTATACACACACCATCACAGATAGTTCTTATACACACACCATCACAGATAGTTCTGATACACACACCGTCACAGATCGTTCTGATACACACACCATCACAGATCGTTCTTATACACACACCATTACAGATAGTTCTTATACACACACCATCACAGACAGTTCTTATACACACATTATCGTAAATCTTTCCTATGCCAGCACTATCACAGACCAGACCTGCACCATGTACCCATATTCACACCATTACAATATCATACTCTTCCATGTGATTTCCTTATGTCGTCAACTCATTCTAACATGAACCTCTTTCTTTTTTACAGCAAAACGATGAGTTACGACGACAATTAACAGCACAACAGAAGCTTATAGAAAAGCACAAAGAAAATTTACAGAAGTGTCTCAACGTCAACAAGTCATTATTAATAGAAAAGGTTGGTAAAGACTATGTCTGTAGAAGATAACTTAACTCATTCACCCCTGAAGACACATTTGAACCCTTCCAATTCAAAGGTTAGAATAGTTCATTATGAAACTTCAGGGGTGAATGAGTTAAAGCTGTTGATTCACACAAACCCAACTGCTCACTGTAGCCAGTGTGCGTGTATACAGCAGATTAAGTACAGGACAATTTGTAGAATACGTTAACAATCATGGGAGTACAATTCCACCAGCAAAACCTCCATGACTAGTGCATTTTAGGTTAGGTTTAGTGGCAATGTCGGTATTTACTAATAGAATATATTACCTAAAGTTTTCACATGTGAATGAATTGTATGCTTCTTTTAACAACTTGCTGTACTTTTTGCAATAACACCGATTTTAGGATGAAATTTTATCAGGTGTATAGCTATTCTGTGACCTGTTCTCGGAGGGTAACTGTGATATGTTTTGACAGAGTAAGTTGGAGAAGAAGACGACGAGACAAAAGTGTATGGGGGACCGACTGAGACTGGGCCAGTTTGTCACGCAGAGACAGGGTGCTACGTTCGTGGAGAACTGGGTCGACGGATGGGCCTTCACAGACCTGATGAAGTAAGGGTCCTGTCCTCTCTCAAAGTTACTACTCCATGAAACTACTGGATGTAACCTTCTAGATTTCTCTGAAATTGAGTTGGTTATTCTTGGCAGTGTGTGTGTGTGCGCTGCTAAAAAAGTTAAAATCGAAAATGGTGGCACAATTATTGATACAACTGTGAAGTACTGCTGGAGGTCTTCTGCCAATTTTCTGTATATTTCACTAATTTCAATATTGCAGTTTACATTGCCATGTTTTTGATGTTTTTGAGTTGTATCTTGCTATGGTCAATGTCATCTGGTAATGATGAGTTAAGTTTAACTTTTGACAAATTGAAAACGAATTGCCCTGCAGTTTATAAAGTTTGTCTAAGAGCAACTAAATTCATCCTCCATTGAACTTGTCCTTTGGATGCAATTCTTTAATGTTCAAATGCTGCACTGAAAAAGCAAATCTCAAACAGTATTAGCAAATATGTTAAGATGTAATCCAGGATCATTTCAAAGCTGGTCGGTGTAGTATAGCTGCATCCTTGATACTCCAGGGCTTACCACGCTCAATGACGCTCACTGTACCTCTAGACTATGTCATAGCGAAATTAAAGGCACATATTTGATTGAGTTATTGTGCATTGTAAAACAGAAATGTTCTTGTGTTTTATTTTGGCCCTTGAATGACGACGCAACTTCAAAATAGGACATAATTTTATACACATATTGAAATATAATTATGAAGTACAAATCTGTAAATCCAATATTGGGCTTACTTATTTCAAAGGACAGTATGATAAACAAATCACAAGGGAAAAACATATTATGGTTAACATATTCAAAATGTGATCAGATAAAAACAGGCAACACAGTTAGAATGATTTGAATATAACTATGGACAAATGTATTACTTTTAACTTTTTGTTTGTCATGGAAAATTGAACTGGTGAATGACAAAGGAACAAGATATAGATCTCCTTTAAAATGTTGATTCAATGTTTTGGATCATTATTGAATTTGATATTATTATTTTTTCCAGACAACAAGAACGAATATCGTCTGATAGAGAAGAAATAGAAAAACAAAGAAAACTTCTTACAAAGAAAAAACCAACCCCAACTGTGATGAAGAACTCGAAACATGACGCTTTCCTCAAGCCAGGTGGAGATAAGCCGTAAGTATCAACTCAAATATGACATCTAGATTTTGACCAACTCAATGCAAGGGAGATAATCTACTTAATTTGTTTTGCCTTAGGATAAAATGTTTAAAGTCAGGTTTATGGATTCAAAATAAAACTTTCATCAGAATTAGTTGATTTTCCAACAAATATGCAGCAGATCTACTGAAATTTGAAAATTGTAGAGTTTTGTGATAAATCTTGCTTCTATGAGATAGTTTATTGTTGTCTTTTGGTAAAGTGTCATTATCTTAATATATTCTTCAATATTTTATTTGTCGGTGTATTGAAGTTTTTCTGTTGCTATAGAATACTCCAATATACACTGCATGTCGAGAAATTATCGCTGCAATTCAACTTTCACATTTTCCTGCCTTCTGTGATGAAGGCAAATTTAACATTATAGCGAAATATAAGTGAACAGCAAAATTAACTGTAAATTAAATATAAAGGGCGAAATTGGTTATAGAATTCTCCAATAGAGTTCTCCAATATATACTGTATATTGAGATTTTTTCGCTGCTGTTCAATTTTCACATTTTTCCGCCCTCTGTGATGAAGGCGAATTTATCATTACAGCGATTATACGTACACAGCATCATAAACAATAAATTAAATATGAAGGGCGAAATTAAAACTGGGCAAATATGGATTTTACAGGCGAAGGTTGAATGTTTGACTAGGCGAACATTTCCCAGTATGCAATGGTAGACTCATATCTCTCTATTTCATACGAGACCACCTCTTATCTGACCAACTCATATCTGAACCATTGATTAGATGATGTTTGATATCAATTTATCATTGTTGTATTTATTCCATGTGCATTACAAGTCTGGAAGGAATTTAAACGGTATCTCACCAACAGTGTATGTATGCAATGATCACAAGATGGCTACTTCATCAGGTTATCACAAGAATCAAATTCAGTAATAGCTTGACAAAGGGACCAGTCGGTCTTGACTACGTACATTGTTTGTGTAGATAGTAAAACTTTGATATTACAGTTATTAGTGTTGAGAGAGAATTCTAAAGCTTATTCTTTTGTTTCAGAATGACGCTGGCTGAATTCTACGAACAGGATGAAATATTAAAGTTGCGTCAAGCCAGCCTGAAAAAGGAGGATGCAGATCTTCAGCTAGAATTAGAAAAATTAGAAAGGGAACGGAACCTACATATACGAGAACTTAAACGGATTCACAATGAGGACAACTCTAGGTACTGTTTCGTACCTCTTGGTTTTAGCCGATTTTCTTTGTGATGTTTAACAAATATGGAGGAAATATTGTTTCTTAAAGAAGTTTTAACAAGGATTTCCCCTGGATTAAACAAAAATTTCAGGATTTATTTCGTCAATTCTTCAAGAGTAATCCAGAGTAGAGGTGCCGATTCATGTTTTTATAAAATAGTGGGAGGGTAATCTTGTTTTGTGATGAAAATCGGTTATATTTTGTTAGGTGTATACTTTGGTAATATTTCAATGAGTCGGAGACATAAAAGTTCATCTAAGGGCTATTCCAGAATTTATTGTATGGGGAGGCACCAGGGGCCTGTTCATTTATGTGGAACAGCCTGCACGATCATTATTAAATGTAACATTTTAGGGTATAAATGCTGGCAGACCTGCAAAAGTTTATACATGCTTTGCAAGGCTTTGTCAAGCAGCATCAGATTACTAGGTTTAACCTTATTTCATAAAAGAACAACTCTGGTCCAACCGGTTTAACCATTTGGATTACGTTAAAAGAAAACCGCCCTGTATTAACATATTATGAGTGGTGGGGTTAAAAGCAGATCTGTCTATCATTCCTGATATTTAATCACTTTTAAGATTTCGTGTGTGATGGGTCCCTGAAAAGTGCCTCTCTCCTTCGGTAAATTTGGGGAACAGCTTTACAGTGTTTGAACAATAACTGGTCTTCACAACAAGGTACAAGGAAGATTCTATTTATAACATTTGCAATGATTTAACAAACATACTGACATGCAAAAACTCCAAAATGATGGATGAAAAAAACACTGTGCTTGCCAAATGGTTGCAACTTGGGTACAACAGGATATTATGTTCACTGGAGTGTGACAACCAACTTGGGTACAACAGGATATTATGTTCACTGGAGTGTGACATGAACTTGGGTACAGCAGGATATTATGTTCACTGGAGTGTGACATGAACTTGGGTACAACAAGATATTATGTTCACTGGAGTGTGACAACCAACTTGGGTACAACAGGATATTATGTTCACTGGAGTGTGACAACCAACTTGGATACAACAGGATATTATGTTCACTGGAGTGTGACAACCAACTAAGGTACAACAGGATATTACGTTCACTGGAGTGTGACAACCAACTTGGGTACAACAGGATATTATGTTCACTGGAGTGTGACTACCAACTTGGGTACAAAAAGATATTATGTTCACTAGAGTGTGACAACCAACTTGGGTACAACAGGATATTATGTTCACTGGAGTGACAACAAACTTGGGTACAAAAAGATATTATGTTCACTAGAGTGTGACAACCAACTTGGGTACAACAGGATAGTATGTTCACTGGAGTGACAACCAACTTTGGTACAACAGGATATTATGTTCACTGGAGTGTGACAACCAACTTGGGTACAACAGGAGTTTTTAGGTCACCTGAGCTTTGCTCAAGTGACCTATTCTAATAGCTTTCCGTCCGTCGTAGTAAACTTTTTACATTTTCAACTTCTTCTCAAGAACCAGTGGATGGATTTTTTTCAAACTTGGTCAGAATCATCCTTGGTAGATGAGGCTACAAAATTGTAAAATTGGGATTCCTACCCAATCCCCTGGGGCAAGCGCGGGGCCCCAAAGGGAAAATTAACCAATATTTCAAAAATCTTCTCCAGACTCGGAGGTACTACAGTCATTTTCTCTGCATGGAAAGAAAGATCATCAGGGGCTTTACTGACATTGTAAATTTCAGGACCTCCGATCTATCCGTTCTCCCTTGGGGAGGGGGTAAAGGTTACTATAGTTTATATAGGGAAATAACTTTTTTGGGTATATTTTGACAACTTTCTGTAGGAAATTATTTTTACTTGGTGAGAATTATCCTTGGAGGAAGATGGTTTCAAATTGTAAAATTGAGATTCCTACCCCAACCCCTGGGGGCAGGGCCCCAAAGGGAAAATTAACCAATATTTCAAAAATCTTCTCCAGACTCGGAGGTACTACAGTCATTTTCTCTGCATGGAAAGAAAGATCATTAGGGGCTTTACTTAAATTGTAAATTTCAGGACCCCCGAGATATCCGTTCTCCCTTAGGGAGGGGGTAAAGTTTACCATAGTTTATATAGGGAAATGACACTTTTGGGTATATTTTATCCATTTTCAGCAGAAAATTACTCAAACTTAGTCAGAATCATCTTTGGTGAATGAGAGTATTACTTTGTAAAATTGGGATTCCTGCCCCATCCCCAGGGGCTACGGCGGGGGTCCAAAGGGAACATTTACCAATATTTTCAAATTCTTATCCTTTGATGACACGACAAGTATTGTATTTCACTTAGTTTACATGCTGATTTCCACATCACATCTAAACAATAAAATAAAGCTACCAGTACCTATAATATAACTCAGGTGACCGCTAAGGCCCTTGGGCCTCTTGTTATGTTTACTTGAGTGACAACCAACTTGGGTACAACAGGATATTATGTTCACTGGAGTGTGACAACCAACTTGGGTACAAAAAGATATTATATGTTCACTGGAGTGTGACAACCAACTTGGGTACAACAGGAGTTTTTATGTTCACTGGAGTGACAACCAACTTGGGTACAACAGGATATTATGTTCACTGGAATGTGACAACCAACTTGGGTACAACAGGATATTATGTTCACTGGAGTGTGACAACCAACTTGGGTACAACAGGATTTTTTATGTTCACTGGAGTGACAACCAACTTGGGTACAACAGGATATTATGTTCACTTGAGTATCAACCATCTTGAGTACAAAAGGATATTAAATTTACTGGAGTGTGACAACCAACTTCGGTACAAAAGGATATTATGTTCACTGGAGTGGGACACAAACTTGACACGAATTAGATTTATTGGAGCATGGCACCAAAATTATTTCGGCACAAAAAGATAATATGTTAATTGGAGTGTGACAGCCAGATGTTGTATCGCCAAAGATTGTGTTCACTGGAACATGACACCCAACTGAATGCAGTGCCACAGGATATTTTATTCAGTGGAGCCTGGAACAAAATGTTATTTTTGGTATTTCAGGATATTGTGTTAACAGAAGTGTCACACCGAACTGTGGTACCAAAGGATATTATGTTAACTCAAGCAATTCTGGTATAAACAAGGATATTATATGATTCATCGGACAACAGCATTATTCATGTAAATAAAGGAACAACAGGATGTACACCAGAGCATGGCACTGAGCTTGGATACCATAAATATTCTATTCACCTGTGATTGGTGGTACTTCATGGTTCAGCAGTGTAGTTCATCAACAGATTTCATTATTCGAAATATGAAAACTTGGGTTTTAAAGTGTAATTATTAATGATTTGTCCTCTTTGATAACCTAGAATACTACATCATCTGGTACCTCCAACTGATCACCCTGTTAATATGTATATTGATGTACCATTCATTCTTACAGATGTTTTATTTTGTTCTTGGCAGGTTCAAAGAACACCCAACACTGCATGACCGGTATCTCCTGCTATGTTTATTAGGCAAAGGGGGATTCAGTGAAGTACACAAGGTAAGTAACGCTTGTGAGCAGTCATGGATGGGAATACTTGTTTGAATATTTTCTTGGATGGATTGATGATAAATATGTCGGTGATATCGGTGGTCGGATGGCGCAGTGGATAATGCACTCGCTGTTCACCAAGGTGGCTGGTTTTTGATTTCCCAATACGACATGCAAAGGTCCGCTAACATCCGGGTCAACAAGAGTGATTAATATCAGTTGATAAAACTGGTTTTGTAACTGTTGTAAAATAAATAATGTTTATACAGTATTTACATTTGTATTATTGTATGAGGAAAGAAAGAAATATTGTTTTTAAATAGTCCTGTACAAAAGCTTTATCTTTAAAATTATTAAAGGGAGTTCAAGCCAATTTATAATGGGTTAGTTAAAAAAGTGTGTTTTTGTGGGTGATAGGGAAATCTGTTTCCTATGAGTTGTGTCACACCGGTTATATTAAGTATTAGACATTTCTCTTAACCACTCAGCATTTCTCTTCAGCCCAATCTGTAGAGCATCAGATTAGTAGACCAGAAGTGTCCGGTTCAGCCCCACACAGGCATTGACAGTTAATGACCTCTATTACATTGATGCCCACACAGCCTTGGGCAAAGACCGTCATCTTCTGTGAAATTATAATGCAACAATTTCTTTGAGATATAACTAGAAAAATAAACATATTTTGAAGTCTATATGTATCATTCTCCGCAGGGTTTTGACCTAAAAGAACAGAGATATGTGGCTTGCAAGATCCACCAGTTGAACCGAGAGTGGAAGGACGACAAGAAAGCCAATTATATCAAGTGAGTAGTGTCTAGACTTTGTTTGGCATCGTTGTTTTGCATTACAAAAAGACTTGTGAACTCATTTACCCCTGAAGACACATTTGAACTCTTCCAATTCAAAGGTAGGAATAGTTCATTATGAAACTTCAGGGGTGAATGAGTTAATAATCAGATATTGTATTCTTTGTTATTGCTGAATTGACTGGTTACAGTAAATGCAGTGCTACTGTTTTTACCTGTTAAGCACTATTACTATTGCACATGTAGAATTTATCAAGTTCAAGGAATAGTTCATTATGAAACTTCAGGGGTGAATGAGTTAATAATTAGATATTGTATTCTTCGTTATTGCTGAATTGACTGGTTACAGTAAATGCAGTGCTACTGTTTTTACCTGTTAAGCACTATTGCACATGTGGAATTTATCAAGTGCCTTAAGAATAATTTTTAAACAGAGGTGCAGCAAAATATGAAAAAAAATAATAGAGTGGTTCAAGTTTAAATCGTTACAATACTTGTGGTAATTTTTGATTTGTATCTAAAAGTAAAACTTGAGAAAGAAATGTTTATCGAAGTTGTCTCCCTTCTCTAAAAAGGACATTTTGGCAGGTAACAGTCTGTTGTTTGGTGTCTTCAAAATTTAACCAAACTTATTTTGTGAAGATTCTCAGTTTACAACTGACTCTTGAAACCGTTAAGCTTAACCATCTTCCTGCAGTGTGTAACTTTGCATCCAGCCTACCAGTCCCATGGTTATGTATGTGTCTTGCTCAGACAAATTGCTGCCAGAAGAGTTCTATGAAACCTGGTAGGGTAAATCATTGTACATGCCTAGCACATGCTTTTCTATTGAGGGCACATGTACATTTTGATGAGTGGTGATCATGATCTGGGAGGGGGTACTTAAGTTAGCCTTTGGCTTACAGTTTTAATTTCATCTGAACGTTTTGTAATATTTATTGAAATCGGTCGACAAAATAAATTTAAAAACCCAGTCACTTGACTGGTGACACATTAGTATGCTGTGATTATGATCCTACTTTAAATACATTAAAATTGACATGATATCACCCGAATTAAAATAACTATATAATAAAACGATGCTTTTCCTTTTTCAGACACGCTTTAAGAGAATACAATATCCACAAAAGTCTTAATCATCCCAGAATAGTGCGACTGTATGATGTATTTGAAATAGACAATAACTCGTAAGTACCTGTACACCTTGGAAGTATTTCCTTATGATCTAAAAGTCAGGAAAATCAACACTCCGGATGATTATTAAATCTATGATAATAATATGATTTCACAAGTCAAATTTATTTCTGTAGGACTTACCTGTACAATTGTTTAACAAATAACACTGAAGAATTTTGTGTTTTAAGATTTTAATAGCAATATATGAAGTGTTGTGCTCTTTGGCAAGTTTGTGAAAGAAAAATCTTCTTTTGAAAAAATGTGCCTGTAATATAATTTGTCTACCGCTCAGCCACGTCGGCTACATTAATGATGCTAGGCTGCATGTTGATATCGAGCATTTATTCTACTGCACCTTAAATTGTCTACATCTTGCACATTCACTTGTAAAAGCAAGTTCAACCATCTCTTGAATATTTTTCAGACATTTAAAATTTGTCATGAGCAGTACAACTTAAAAAACAAATTTGTCTCTTTGAAAATAATTGTTGAGGAAACAGAAGTCTTCTTGAAAATTCAGATATTTATGGAATGTTGAATGCCCATTGGTTTGTTTCCTTTAAAGATTTTGTACAGTGTTAGAGTACTGTGAAGGGAACGATCTGGACTTCTATCTGAAACAAAACAAATCCATTCCGGAGAAGGAAGCCCGTTCCATCATCTCCCAGACCGTCAGTGCTCTACGCTACCTGAATGAGATAAAGCCACCTGTGATTCATTATGACCTTAAACCAGGTGATATTTCTAAATGTTCCATCCTAGATTTATATTTAAGGAACCCCATACCAAAAGCTAGGACTTTGCACGGGATCTATTTCTGAGAAGAAAACCGTACCTTGCAGAACATTTATGAACTAAATAAATCAACATTAGTGTTCTGATTGTATATTATTAGCTCACCTGGTCCGAAGGACCAAGGTGAGCTTATGCCATACGGTGGCGTCCGTCCGTCGTCCATCCGTACGTCAACAATTTCTTTAAACAACTTCTTCTTCCTAACCACTGATTGGAATTTAACTAAATTTGACTGGAAGCATCCTTAGGTGATGGGGATTCAAAATTGTACAAATAATGGGGCTGACCCCCCAGGGGGCTGAGGGGTGGGGCCAAAAGGGGTCAATTTGCTCATATTGCTTTAAGCAACTTCTTTTCTAGAACTAAGAAGTTGATATCAACCATATTTGACTGGAAGCATCCCTAGGTGGTGGTGATTAAAAATTGTACAAATGGTGGAGCTGACTCCCCAGGGGGCTTAGGGGCGGGGCCAAAAGGGGGCAATTTGGCTATATTGCTACAAAAGACTTCTTCTGTAGAACTGTGCACTGGATATCAATCATATTTGATCAAAAGCATTCCTTGGAGGCAGGGATTTAAAATTGTACAAATGATGTGGCTGACCCCCCAGGGGGCTGAGGGGCAGGGCCAAAAAGGGTATTTGGCTATATTGCTTTAAGCGACTTCTTCTCTGGAACTAAGTGATGGATATCAACCATATTTGACTGGAAGCATCCCTAGGTGATAGTGATTAAAAATTGTACAAATGGTGGGGCTGACTCCCCAGGGGGCTAAGGGGCGGGGCCAAAAGGGGGCAATCAGGCTATATTGCTACAAACGACTTATTCTGTAGAACTATGCCATGGATATTGATCATATTTGGTCAGAAGTATTCATGGGAGGCAGGGATTCAAAATTGTACAAATTGTGGGGCTGACCCCCCGGGCTAAGGGGTGGGGCCAATAAAATTTATTACTTGGAAATGGTTGAGATCCCCTCCATATAACCATATATACAATTGCTGAGTATAAAGAGAAGAATGCACATTGCTTCCAGGATGTCCCTGGGGTCCGACTGAACCCCTAGGGACCTAGTTTCTTAGCCACAGCTTGGAAACAGTTGAGAGCCCCACCCTATAACCGTATATATATAATTGCTGAGTATAAAGAGATGATTGCACATATGCTTCCAGGTTGCCCTTGGGGACTGCCCCACCCTGTGAGACTTAACCCGTGGGTCATAACTTTGAAATGGTTAATATCCCCACCCCAAAACTATATATACAAATGCTTGGCAAAAAGAGACAAATGCAGTCATGATATTAGAATTGAGCCTGGAGTCTGGCCACAACTCTAGTTTCTGAGTCAAAGCTTGGAAACAGTTGAGATCCCCACCTCATAACCATACATAAAATTGCTGGGCATGAAAAATCTAATATAGCTATGCTACAAGGATTGGCCTTAGGGTCTGGCATATTCCCTTGATCTCATTTGGAGAATAGTTTGCCATGATTGCTTAGGTATCCAGGTGAGCGAAACAGGCCCTCTGGGCCTCTTGTTATATGCAAAGCGGCCTGACTAGAATTTGAATCTGGATCTCCGATCAAGATACTCTTGCTTTCACCAATATCAACTGAGGCACCCTTGCAGAGTCATGCTGCGGTTATATCTAATACCAATTTAAGGGGAGGTTACTCTTTGAATGTAAAAACAAGTGGAAATATCCTGTGTTTTACCTGCAGTGGTAAAGGTCTCCTTGAACAGAACAAACCATTTCTAATGTGCAGAATTTTAACTCCAGTTTGTTGGCTGAATTTCCATTTTCAGTTCAATTTCCCATGATTTTATGAACCAGTTCTTGTGATATATCTCATGAAATTGGAGCAAAATTCAGATTCTTCAATCGTGTATCACAAAATGAATAAAACGGGAATATGTCATTCAATATGTGTTTGCCATAGCCACATACCTAGTTTGAAGCTGTTGGCAAAACTGTCCCCTACTTAATCCTTCCATGTTTATTTAGGGCATACACACATATAAGAATCAATTGCTTGATTTTTGCTACACTGTGTTAGAGCTTCAGAGAGTATGACAAATACAACTATAACATACTGATGGTGGTAACGGAAAGTAACCTGTTGGTTCTAATATAAATTTTCAGGCAACATACTGCTTGGAAGTGGGTCAGTCAGTGGGGAGATCAAAATCACCGATTTTGGTCTCAGTAAAGTGATGGACGACGACAATCTGACACCAGACGGCATGGACCTAACCTCCCAAGGAGCCGGCACGTACTGGTACGTAGCTATCTACATTCTGTTTGCCAACATTAGATTTAGATACTTTGAAGTAGTTGTATCATGTCACTAGGTTTTATTATCTCTTTTTTTTGGACGTTGCTGGTATGGCCCGAACACCCTCAATCTATTCGCCATTTTGAAATATGTCAAATACAGGTATAATGGGAAATTGTGATAAAAACAAGTCAAATTTATTCAGGTGAAATAAACCACACTCTACTGTTTGATACAGCAACCTTCTTAATAAAGATGTAGTAGCTGGGTAAAGTTTTAGAATTATACCAATATTTTTATATTCCTTCGAGTTATTATGTACATGTATGCTTATTTTAATGAAATTTGACACACACAAAAATCCCAACAGGTACTTGCCACCAGAATGTTTCGTCGTTGGTTCCAACCCGCCCAAAATCTCTTCCAAAGTGGATGTCTGGTCAGTAGGAGTGATATTTTACCAATGTCTGTACGGCAAAAAGGTAAGGATGTTACTAAAAATACCATCTAATAAAAGTCTTTTAACTGTTTATTGATAGGTCTGCAAAATTTTATTTTGTAATTTTATAGCCCCAATTCTATTAATTCTTTTGAAGTTGTTTGAATTGGCCAAATATTGATGATAACATTTATAAGTGGTTCTGAGAAGACATTAGAAAAAAGAATTTAGAAATAAATATTAAAATATTCACAAGGTCTTTTTGAATCTTAACTTGTGCTTGTATTTTTTAGCCATTTGGGCACAACTTATCTCAAGCTGCCATACTAGAAGAAAACACCATTCTTAAGGCTACAGAGGTGGAGTTCCCTGCCAAACCTCAGATCAGTACTGAGGCTAAGGTATGCTGATAGGTTAACGGTGATAAACTCAGAGGTGCACAAGTAGGCATTAGGAAGTACTTTATTTATTTGATATGGAAAGGGTTTGATTGATATGGTCCCTTTGGGGGCCCGCCAGATCCCCAGGGGCTACGGCGGGGCCTCAAAGGGAACAATTACCAATATTTTCAAATTATTATCCTTTGATGACATGACAAGTATTGTATTTCACTTAGTTTACATGCTGATTTCCACATCACATCTAAACAATAAAATAAAGCTACCAGTACCTATGATATAACTCAGGTGACCACTAAGGCCCTTGGGCCTCTTGTTTTATCTGTAATTTCTTTTCAACAAGAGGAATTGGTTTCCTACCTTGTATGATGGGTGATCAGCAGTATGGAAACTACTGTTATTTGCATTACAATACTAGTGAATTCTCATTCAAAATTTAGATAATTGTTTGTTACAAATAAAACCTGATCATTGATAAAAGGACAAGCTGACCTTTGTGACCCTGTGACTTTCTTCACTAGTTGATTGTGTCGTAAAGATTATCAACATAATGAAAAATAATGATTTCAAAATTCAACAAAAAATCCATTATTTGCTTTGAGAAATATTAAACAGGTTTCAATAAAATACCACCATTATCATTGGTTTGATTTTGCAGGGTTTCATCAGACAGTGTTTGCAGTACAAGAAGGAACATCGGCCAGATGTCCTATTGTTGGCTCACCAAGACTATCTTAGGCCTGCCCCGCTGAAATCCAAAGGGTAACTGTAGTTAACATTAGTCATTCATTAAGCAGGCTACAACCTTCACCCTTTCACCACTGTAGACCATAATGGACTCATCCAAATCAATGCATGGAAGAGTTTACTGAAGTTACATAGGGGTGAAAGGGTTAAAACAGGAAATTTGTAACTGCTCAGTAAGTTACAGTTTTATCTTGAGTCGTGTGAACCCATTTACTTTTACAAAATTGTGTGGTTGCATCTGGCTTTTTCAGTCGAAATATCCTGCACCCTTGAAAAGCTTAAAAAAGAAAAATAGATACTATTTAACACTGGGTTAGGCGAGTGTTTGCAGGCAATGGCTGTATTTCAAGTATTTTGAATCTAGTTAAGTTAACTTGGTAATTTCCCTGAATATGAGGTATCTTCTATTTGGTGAGTATAATGTTTAATGGTATGCTTCAGAAATTCATGCCAATTCAGGTACATTTTTGTACTTCTAAATGTAGGTTAGGTGAATAAGAAAAGAAAAAGTAAACCTGCTCAACAGTTGAAGAATATGTTTATCAATATTGTTATAAAAAGTTTTATTTTTACACTTTTTTTGTGTGAAGTGATTCACAAGAAAATATTAAAACCTTATGTCAGAATAGGTTTAAGGTTGAAGTTTGGTTAGCAAATGTAATTCATATATCATCATAATGTTAATTGTCAAGGACATGAATTCATGAGACAACAATATACATACTCCTTGGTATATGTGTCCGAAAGAATGTTGGCAAATGAACTCCTTGTTATATGTGTACGAAGAATGTTGGCAAATGAAATCAAAATTATCTTGGTTTTACCAGGTTTATTATTAAAGAATTTCTGTGTAGTCATGTATAGTGATCTTGTTTTACCATGTGAAAGATACTTTAATATTGACCTTTTCATGACCTTGCAGACATTCAGGTGATAGTGGTTTGGGATCCGGATCCAACAGTGTTATACAGGCATCGTTGTCGCTCAACCAACCTTCCGGCTTTACGTTTGGGGACAGAACATGACAACAGTGTGTTGGACGTTGACCCAAGGGAGATAACTGACCTCCACCTACAATTCCATGTGCTAGCCGAGCCCAGACAACTGTGTATGGGGCAAGCCCCATGTAGTCATGTTGCCGTCACAAATTGTCTGGAGGTCGCACAGATGGACAGGCGGGCGCCGCGCCAGGTCCCTTGAGGGCCTCCGGCAGACCACACAATAGCACTTATATACACAAGTCTCACCAGAATTGGTGATAGTTAAATCTTTTGACCAAGCTTGTGTTTAAAAGAAACTGCATTAAGTTGGTGGGGTCTGTTCTCACCATCATTTGTTGCCAACTTTTTTTTATTCAATTAGATGGCATGATATTTATGTTATAAAAATAACTGCACTGGTGTCATCCGTTGGCTGTGAAATTACCTGTGAGAACATGGTCATGCATTCAGCATTTATTGTACCGGAATATGGTCAGAACTGTTCTCAAGACTGGCTGTGTCGATAGAAAATATACAGAAAAAAATCAATATCTGCAGAAAATATTTTAAAACAACCAAGACCACATAGCAAAGCTTTAATGATGAAGGATTGTACGCTACAATTATGATAGAAAATAGATATTTTTAAAACCCACTTTTCCTTGAAGGCCATATGTGGAGAAGCAATTTATGACGTCTAGTTCCAGACATTGCTAGTTACCGGTTGAACTAGACAATCAAAATAGTTCTGCCAGTCTTCAAGTGCATCTTTTACTAAATATAAGTTTTGCAAGAGAGAAAAAATGGAATTTCATTATGAATTGTGTTTCCTCATAAAAGGAATAACTACCACATCACAAAATTGGAAATTATAGCTAAATTTGAAATGCAAAAGTGATCCTGAATAACATTAAAAGCCATTTAAATTGTTATGACAGACATTAATGTTATTCAGTAGAAAAATTAGCGACACTATCTGCTGTCCCCAGACAGTTTTCAGTGCTGATATGTGATAGAGCAACCAAATCTGTATTGTCTGTGCACAGCCTGTCCTTGGGAAAATTTCTGAACATGTTCTTTATTTAAAAATTTGTGTGTTTTACACACGTTGTGGAAAGAGTGAAAAGAGTTAAGAACTCTGATGTATGCATGAGTATAAGAGTTACGAGGTTTAATAGTTTGTGAATGGAGAAAGCTAGATACACGTTCATGCACTGGTAAAATAGAAAGTGGTCATTGAAGGACTTGACAAAGTCCAGTTTAATCGTACAGATCCTACCATACATCGGTCAGTTGCTGCGTGGTTTGTGTGGGGACAGATTCCGATCTTTAAATAAACAATGTTCACCTCCTTTTGTACAAATGATTTCTACAGAGATAACTTTGTGGTTTTCTGATCCGAAAACAAGAGTTTGTCACATAAACTCATAGGATTAAACTTCAGGCAATGATTAATTTATTCTCTGGGGGGGAAAAAGGTTTGTAAGATGAACATGGTTTTTTTTTTTTTAAATGTCCACTATGGTCACATATTGCTTGTATAACCTCCTTTCTGACGTTCACAGCAAGGAATGTTCTTGAGATAAGTCTTTGATATCATAAAATGGCTGTGGGGAGTATTGACTTATGATTCAATGATTATTTGTTATAATTTGAAGCTAGGTTCTGAATTGTGGATGCTTTCAACCTTTATGCAATATATAAATGGAAATAATATTTTCCCAAAAAAAAAAAAAAAAAAACCCAAAAAAACAAGAATGAGAATAAAATGCATGAATGAAATTGATTAATTTATTTATTCCAAAATTCTGTGGGGCAAACTACACACATGATTGATTTAAACCTTGCTTATAAATATTAGCTATGATCTCACAAGTTTCCTACCTGTGCTTACATTAGCAACTACACTGATAATTCCATGTCGATACTCCACTGTAGAAAACTGACGGGTGGACACAACTTCGGAAATCTGCCTCTGAACAAACCATCCCAACAAACTGATGATGGGGTGGGTCTGTACGTCGTGTGTACAAAGAGTCTGCAGCGTTGTTGTTTGGGTTGGAGTGCATGCGCGAAGACGTTTTAGCGAGTGCCAGTTCTCTTGGCTAAAACCCTGTACAGTGTTATCGTGTGCGCGCGCTTTTGTATGCAACTCTCACCTGTCCAAGGGGATTCCAAATCTATCTTGTATAAATTAATCATGTATATATCAATTTTGTGTAGACCTCTTCAGACCAATGAGCGAATGGTCCACTGATTCAAATTGTCATTTCTCTTGAGAAAAGAAAACCGATGGAATATTAAGAAATTCAATTATGTTGTTGATTTTCAGGGTGACATTTTTTTTATGGCATACTTTTGTATCACATTCAGAGAAAAGTTTTAAGAAATTTTGCTACTTTATAAAGGCAGTGATTTTTTTATTGTTAATCAGATGATCAGTTTTAAGCAGGAACTTGAGCTTTTCAGAATCCACTGTTTCATAGTCTTATAAATTCAAGGGTGTTTTTCTATCAAACTAAGCATGTTTTAGCCCATTAACACCATATTCTTCAAAAGTGGGTGTTATTTTGCATATATATTGAAAAAAATCTGAATTATTTTTTTGGGGCAAATTTCTGATAGTAGAATAGGTGCTTTTTGCAGTTATATGGGTTTAAGTTGAAATTTTCCTGATTTCCATGGTCGTTGGTTGGAAAGCAAAATAAAGCTAGCTCTGCCAGATTTCGGCAAAAATATGAATTACCTGTTTGTGGTAAGAAAGTCAGCAAGCAAGGCTTTTATGACATGAAAATACGATTTTAAGAGAACAAACAATACTGTTCTTTTGGTTAACAAAGAAATACTATAAATAGACAAATTATTATTGTTTTGGAAAATCACATGTAAAAAAAATATACAATTTTATGTATTCTGAATTTGCAAATATAATTATTTTTTGAAGCAGTAGAACTTCTAGGATACAGAGTTGGCTAATTGCAAAATATTCGTTTATATTCAGGAAAACGGTCAGTTTTTATCCCCGTTTTATTCGGCAGTTTCTGTCTTTTGTTTATCCGAAAATTATTATATTACAAACTTGTTACATGGCGCTTTAACGTAACAACTGGAATAAGGGATGGATTTATTCAAAAATTAATTTGTTTTACTTTTAATTTATGTTGAAGTTATTTACTTTTTAACAATGCTACAGTATTGGTTCATGGAATAGAATGTAATTATTTATTTACCAAAATAAATTAGTGTTAAAACCAAACTGGATAGAGTTATTTGAAAACTGCACAATTAAGAGGGGAAAAAAATGGAATATATTTAAATTTGATGAACAAATGAATCCTTACCTTTTAATTACTTGATTGATCAGTTTTCAAGTTAATCATGAACAATTTATTTTTCAAATATTTAAATGGGAACAGATTGGGTTTTTTTCTGTTATAAAGTAAAACAAACATACAGGACTCTTTAATTTTAATCGTATATATGTATATCATAGTTTTGTTTTAAAGCACAACACCTCATGAGATTATCCTGAAACTAGTTTAAATAGGGTTTTGTTACTGGCAGAATTAGTAGAATTAAAAATAAAACAATGGCCTTTTAAGAGCTCAATTGAAAATAGTTATCTGGTTCTTTATGGCTGTATTTACATAGTGATGCAGCAGCTGTTGTAAATTACAAATTCTTAATTTTTCTACATCTCTTCTTCACAGGATTTTTTTTTTTTTTTTTAGTTTAAGATGAAGCAATGTAGTTTTGATTTCATTGAAAGCATGGAAACACTTTAAAGAAAATAAATTAATTAGCTTTTACATGATCTGTGTAAAGCATTTTTAAAATTTTGAATAAAGCTTAACAAAATTGTGTTGTAATATTAAAGGTAGTTCATTGACGCTCTGTCAGGTAAGACCCTGTCGCTGTACAAAGATGGGAAAGCATTAACAATAATTGCAAGTTAATCATGTCTCTTTGAAATCCATTGTTATGTATACAATCTTTGTTATTCGGTCTCTTGTAATGTCCGTTCTAGGCAGTGTCTGGCATAAAACTGTTCTTCTGTTGTGCTTGGGGATCATGAAATATTTACATGGAATTCATTGTCTGTTTTGTAAATCTCTGAAAATATAAAAGGGAAAAAAATATAGTTGCTGCATTAATCACGTAAACCGAAATAGATGACGGCAACACTGTCGCGGCACAGATTCATAGATATGTCTAGTCAAGTTACAGCCTATAAATTTAATCATGTGTGTCAGCGAATCGAATGTCCATGTGTGGAGGTGTTGGTGTACCTTTGATCAAGTGCTCAACATGATGCAAACCTGCATTGTTTTTTTTTGTGTGATGTTAATTTTGCCATACTACCTGTGTTCTGTGTGTAGTGTCCTGTATGATTTCATCGCTTTACTGTGTGTTAAGTTCTGTGTGATGTTCTTGCCATACAAACTGTGTGCTGTGTCAAGTCTATGTGTGTGTCTGCTGTCAAGACAACTCTCAACTCTTTACCAGTGTGCATGTCGTTATATTGAAATAAAAGAAAAAAGAAAAAAATGAATATTAGACTTTCTCCGATTCACTGTATATTACCTATCAAGACAACATTAGATACCTGCAGGTTTAGGATTTTGTAATGTTTGATTTTAAAACTATAACTTCTATCAGATAACCCGAAGTGTACTATTATGATGTCCTGAAACAGAAAGTACTCAAAATTGATGTTGATTATTAGTCGGAATAATGCACACTGGTTTGGGGAGTGTTTGTGAATGCTGATCAAGATTCTAACATTAACTGTCATCTATTGCCGTATAGATGTATCCAGCTTGTGTTTACTGGACCAGTCCAATGACCCACACTCTCCAGGATACATATGTAACAAATTGCTTTCCTTACAGCGGCTGTAATTAGCTAAAAAAACAAAACAATTACCACTCCATAAGCAATACAAGTTATGTGTTTTATTTTTTTCTGTGTTGCAATTTATTTTTGAGGTTTTGTGAACATTTCCTTAAATGAACCTGTTTCATTATTAAGAATTTTGATATTTTGTGGACAATAATTTTTGCCACGGCTGGAAAATTTATTTAAAATTTAGGATACTGTTTCATATTTTGGCTTTATTATCTTGAGTTTGATCATACAGCAGTACATGTATAGTCAAATTGTGTTCTTTTGTTTAGCTGAAAGCAACTTGTAGTTTTAATTTTGTGTTTTCTTGTAACGAGATACAGAGTTGTCTGCCCTTCTGCTGTCTATTCTGTGTAGAATTCACTGTCCTGTCAATTTTCTCTTCAAGTGTTCTTTCCTAATTTCTTCAATCAATTCTTGATATTATCAAATTTTTTTTCAACTTTTCGATTCAATGACAGAAAAAATATGATTTTCTCTTCAATTACTAAATATATTGGTTGTGACTCATCCGTCCCAACATTTCATTGAAATAAATAGAAAAGGAAATAAATGTCGAGGTTAATATTCAGTAGTTTTGTTTGTTTTGATAAGTGTTAAGTTCTTTGTTTTGTTTTTAATTCCAAGTTTGATTTTAAAGCTTATCATATTAAAAGCAAAATTTAAAACATGTATTTAAAAAAAATGTTTTTAATAATGAATATCAACCTTCTGTATAGATAGGGAAGATTATTATAAATAAAAAGTGTAGCAAGAGGCTGCAATTTCTTTTTCAGGACTAAAATGTACATATGTATCTTCAATTTGTGCTATACTCAAATGTACATTTGTCAGAGGTCATTGAAGGCGTCAGAGGTCACTGATGTCGTCAGAGGTCACTGATGTCGTCAGAGGTCACTGAAGTCATCAGAGGTCATTGACGACCTCAGAGGTCACTGATGAAATATACTATTACACTTAGATGCCAAATGTGTTTTATATAAAGAGTTTCCATGCAGGTGAAATCCTGTAATGTACCACAGGATGATTTGACATGGGGAGAACTAATTTGCTTTAATTGTTTGGGAAGGGGGCTTTTGTTTCTTTCTTTGAAATTTCTCCATTTTTACTAATCATCCAACAACCAGTTTTATTTCATTTCTGTTTTAAGCTTGACAAATCAGCAATTGTTTTAAACTTGTGTTTTATCAGTTCCTGTTTTTAACCTGTTTTGTTTCCCATGTGATTAATTTGTGGGTGTTTTGTAAGTATGTACATTAGATCATCAGTATTTGCTGAGAATTGTCTTTCAACATTTGATATGGAGCACTTTGGACATGTGATGTGACTGAGAATTGTTCCGATGAGAACTTTGAGAATGAGGGCGAGTGTGAGAATACATGCGAGTCTATGTGAAGTGTGAGAAAACGTATATGCAAGGCGTTCTCACATAGTTACCTTGTCTAAGATGACAAAGGGAAGGATAATAAATTACTATTTTTCAAAACATGTTTTATTGTTTTTCAATTTTCAAATATGTAGCTAGGAAAGAGAAAATTTCAAGTAAAAATCATTTCCTTATGGCTGTAAGCTTTAATTTCATCAGGTTAAGAGTGTCATAAAGTTCAGTATATTGTTTGCGGTTACAATTTGCACTAATATGAAAATTGGTTTGTCATATTACAAATTACAGATGTAGTAATCTTGCTACATGTATGCGTTTTTAGCTTACCTGCCTATATTCAAGGTCAATGGGGTCGAATATGTTAAAAACCTTTTAAAACAACTTCTTCTGAATAACCAAAAGGCCTAGGATGATGATATTTGGCCAGTAGCATGCTGGGGAAAAAAGGGCTACCAAGTTTGTTCAAATGTATGACATGTCACAGGGGTCAAATATGTTAAAAAAAATAACTTGTTCTGAATAACTAAGAGGCCTAGGTGATGATGTTTAGCTAGTAACATTCTGGGATGAATGGCTACCAAGTTTGTTCAAATGAATGACCTTCAGCCATTTGACCTATGACGTGACATTTGACCTTTACTTTTGAAAACGTTGAAAAGTGGCAGGTGCTTGACAACTGTATGTGGCAGCCATCTTGAAATTATCTTCACTTTATTGGCACAAGTCTGTACATCAGAAGGATAGCGCGGCAGCCTCACGGTAAAATTGACCGGCGTTGCAATCAGTCATAACTCCTCTGTATACTTCGATTTTGTCATGACATATTCCAAGGGTACAGAGAAGATATGTGAATCTAAATCGTCGAAATTTCAGAAGTTAGGCTCAATTAAGTTACGCATGCGTTGATTTTTCATGACAATACTGAAGACTTGCGGCAAGCCAGTTGATTGGTTTCCGCACTCGTCACAACTCGCCAGATTCTGTACCTACATGTTGAGTACCGGAATCAGCCGAGGTTAGCCGAATGTGGTTTCAGGTGTAAAAATCTGACAAATCGCTAGGCCGATACCTGTCATATAAAGATTGTTAGGAGCAATACCCATTTTGAGAGCCTGGTAATTTTACCGTTACGAAACAGTGTGATTACTTCGGTCTTCATCAAAGCCATCAGAACAGTCTACTTGTATCGTCCGCCAGGTGTCGCGTAAAGAGCCTCCGATGTTGTTCGAGAGAGGAACCCTTAGATTATGAAGTTGGAATAATGGCGGTATTGCCAAAATACCTTGGTACTACATGTGCCACATTATTCCTCAAATATTGAAAACAAGTATTTGCAGAGAAATGCTCTGTATACATATTAGCTACGGGAACCGTAATTCAAAGGTTCGGTCGATTTTCTTCTATAAAAAAAAATCGAACACAAAAAATACTCAAAACATATTTAATAAATCGACCGAAAATTTAAAGTACAACCTCCGCATGCAGTTACCATCACCTGTCTAAAGGACAGTTTTTCTGCTCTGTTTCTCCCTAACGAACAAGGTGAGATGTTGGCAAAAATGATTATCGCCGAAACTGTATTCAACACAAAGAGAATACTCTGATGCGTTCATAGAGTGGACAGTAAGTCATAAGAAATTTCTTCGCATGTTGCTGGTAACACACGCAGTGAGGCGTGAAAGGCAACCGGAGGTTAACATCACTACACACTTGACCGTTCCTGGTGGCACTTCGCAAAATGCCGTTTTCCAAAACGACACAAAGTTGTCCTAGCACTAGCGCCAGTCCTGCGGCGCCAGTTGGGGCCGGTATGTTCCACAGTTGCGTTCCTTCGAAGGAAAAGCATCGAACTTTGTGTGGATATGTATAAGACACATAGAAACAGTTTCGATTACCGGCTATAATATCCGTATATACGGAAAAGAGTCCCTTTTCTTTAACTATGACTCGCCTGTGGTTGTCCGTATCCATCAATTCAATACTCCGAATGAATTCGCTATAATGCGACACCAGACAAATAAAGCTCTTGTTTTGATAAGCGATGTCCAGCAGATCGCCACTCTTGTCCCTCCGTTTTGCTGAAGTGGTCAGTTCAAGTTTACCGCCCTTCACGGTGTACAAGTTCACGCAATTATAGACACCACCGAAAGACGCCGCCACCGTTGACTTGTCAACCACAGTCAGACCATTAGCATAGTCCACTCCCACTGGCCCGCGTGTCGGCGTTCTTAAATGGTGCAGAAACTTGTAATCTGGGCTGAAGAGTTTCAATTTATCGTTGTTTCGGTCTAACAAGATGATTGTATCGTCGGCTAGCGCCACCACTCGGTTATGTTTGAAACCATCTGCATCTTGATCGGAGGGAATCGTGAACGGAAATGACGTAAAATATTCGGCAGCCAATTGCAATGGTACATCAGTATGTGCATACGTGCTTGGTGGCATCAATATGGACCATTTAGAATTCTTGTTTTGTTTGGCATGCGCAATGGTTGTTGTGGTTGTGGTTGTTGTTGCTGCTGCTGCTGTTGTTGTTGTTAAAGAACGACCATTCCCTGGAGCTTCAGACAGCGTTACACATGAGCCCAGAGTATTTTGCACAGTTGGAGAGGATTTGGAATTCGATGAGTTTGATTTTTCTGTAATATGCGCAGGAGGAGCAGATACAGATTTGTTCGACGATGTCTTCTCGGCTCCCCAAGCTGTCACCGCTTGTACTTTGGTTTTCGTTGAATTTTGTCCCATTGTTTGCAACCTATGAATGAGTCAACGATAGCATCATCAAAATCGGAACCTTTCGATCGATTTTCACACGTGCTGAGTTGTGATAAAACCTCACATTTAATGCGATTGCAATTTAGATGTATGAATTTTTAACTTTATTTTTTGTTATACAAATATCTTTCAAAACATTTAAGTTGACAAGGAAAACAATCAGGAATAAAATTAACGTTTGTGAGTTCATGATATTAATATCGTAAATAAGATTTTATTGCAATATACCAACTTGGACACGCAAATTAACGAAGGGAGACAATATGATTACCTCCCCTTATCAAATTGTGATCCACTGACTTACTGGGAAGCGTTGACCACACATACTAATGGCAGTTATCATATAATTAATTCAATAAATCAATTGAAGGAATCAAAAACTATGAAATGATATTATCATAATTTATCAAGGGAATGCTCATTATTATTACAAACAACATTATTATCAGCTCACCTGCCCGAAGGGCAAGTGAGCTTATGTTATGGTG